ATTTATGACTCTCCCGTGATATTGGTCAACTGATAACATAAAAATGTATCCCAATAACGAATATTTATCTTTGCATTCTAAACAAGTTCGTTATTATTAGTCCCATGAAAATATCAGAACTTTTTATTGGCACTTTTCTTGTGTTCGAGACCTTGATATAATTGATAACGACTAAGCATGCCACCAAAAATGTGTACCTTAACTATGGAAGGAACTGAAAGGAAGTATTGTTGTATGTTATATCGACTTACTACACACTTAATATATGTCTTTCAGGATAAGTCAGAAATCCCTTGGATTCCTCGATGCAATTTATATGCCTATCGACATCTTTGATATCGAGGTGACGTGACAATAGGTGTTTTGATTCGTACAACATATCAATGTTATTAGTTTATTACTCACAAAGAGAATGACATCTCCATATACAAGTACGATAAAGTTTCTCCAACTGATCTTGAGATATATACATTGATCTACTTGATTCTTAATGAAGTAATTATTATTTATCACTTTATCGAACATTAGATACCATTGACATGAAGCTTGATTCAACATATATATTGATTCCTTGAGTTTACACGTTAGATGTTCTGAGTTTACACGTTAGATGTTCTTAACTCTTATAAATGCAATTGTTTGCTTAGGTTATGTAAACATCATTGTGTAAATCTTAGTTAAGAAAATTGTTTGACATCTATTTGATGTAGCTCTAAATGCAAATGAGCTACTAGGGCCATTATGATTCTAAGGAAGGTCAATTTGATAAACACCCACTCCTTCCCCATCTGTAGAAAGGGATAGGAAAAATTATAAACAGTGGAATATTCTCATCATTGATTGAGAATAAAAAGTGATTAGGTAAAAAGTGGCGGTTAAATCATATTAATCTATTATAAAAGCAGCATGCTAGTGTTGTATTTACCATAGCAAATATATTGAACATGGTTATTTCTCAGGCTACAAGAGAGATGAATAAATTTTAACAAACAAAAAACATGCAGCTGAAATTTGAGATGCACAAGTTCTGCAGAGCAGGTGAAAAGCATATAGCCTTGTGGCCTTATTTACATATCTAAGGTTCAATATTAAGTGCATGCTCCAAGATCACTATCATGAGAATTTCCAAACAGAGAGACACTGGATTGGTGATCCTTTCCACCCAATAATTAAGCAATTTCCGTCCATATCAAAAGTGCAAGAATTTCCACAAGAAAATATACCTGTAACCAGGTTTGCTTGATATAAAGAGGACATACTCAATTCTGTCTCCTTCATTCCAAACCTGGCGAAAAATTTTCTCCAGACATTAATATGCACATTCCGAATGACTCTTTCCGCTCCTTCAGTTGCCACAATGCTCCATATTCCATTACCCATATACTCAGATTCAGTTATAGCACGGTTTTCATCTTCACGATCCATACAGTCTTCTAAAGCGTCAAAGAACGCCCCATAAAAGAAAAGAGCTTCAATAAAACGATCCACAAAGTTGGGTGAGTTAAGATTTGCTGCACCTTCGATTACCACCATAACACGAGGATTTATACTTTTTATAACTTTCATCAGAGATTCAAGTCGGTCCTGCTGCCCAATCATGCCCCACAAACCATATGATGAGAAAACGGCCAACGCTTCCTCTGGATCCAACTCAAGGAGATCTTCTTTAAAATCCAACATATCTCCCACCATAGCCACATTGAAAGAGAAAGACAGGTTTATGGATTCAGCAAAACTCTTCAACCAATGACCCGTCTGCTCAATTTTCTCTTTAAAGTTAGTCCCGACAGCAGTTATTTTAAGATGTTTGATGGGACAAGTGGGTTGAGATGCAAGAGCTTGCATTAGAATTGTACACTGCACACCTTGTTTGATCGAGAGATCAATTATATGCACTTTTGTTGCCCCCGCTACAGCATCAACCAAAGCCTGAACCCCAGAAAATTTACCAGCTTGAAAAAAAGGTAACTTTTGATAAACTGAGACCGATGTTGGATTAGGGCTCAACGTTCTCTCTTCAATATAATCTACGTGTTCCTTTCCTGGGCCATGGAATGAGATTCTTCCGGTTTCATTAGCTATCTTCTGTCGTAAAGCTTTAGAGAAATAGTGCACTAACCTTTGAATGGCGTTTCCAGAACTAGAAGATAACGTATCACACCAATTGAGAAGCTTAATCGAACGTTCAAACTGTTGCTGAGAGACTTTCTGTGCCGAAAGTAATAGATTTTGAATGAGTTCAATATCTTTAGCTTTCTGATTAGAAAAGACAGAGAATGAAGAGCTATACGGATGGCTAGGCATTGACATATCATTTATCGAAGATGAACAAGATTGTATGAAGTTTTCTCCACCTAAACGAATAACTGCATCAGTTGATAGCTTGTGCCCACTCACTTCATAGCGTACTACATCAGGACTTGTTGTCTTTGTCCTTTTAGGATTTGCATGTGGTTTAACAAGCTCAGAATATTGAGATTCAATAGTTGCAAGCTCCTGCATCTGATGTTCATACGGTGGAAATGGAGGGGTGGTGTCCAGAAACAAGGCATCCAAATTATGGAAAGCTTTTAGTGGTTGTTGCTGATCTACTTCATGGTATTCCGATGAAAACGAAAGTCCATGGGTTGCATTAGATTTATTTCCTGTATCATCTTCCTGCCATAACTGAGGCAACTTCCCCAAACTCCCCATTTCCTGATTGTCGACATCATTACCAAGCCTGTCGAAAGGGGACGTCATTTCATTAAGATTCTCAATGCTGTTCTAATTAGAGCTCTCTTGTTAAAGAGAGAAATCAAAGGTTAAGTTAACCACCCGATCCTAAGGATTTACGAAAACCAAGTACACATGAGAAGTTGAAAAAACATAAAAGGCCCTGTTCTTCGTGGACATTGATGTTATCGGTGTCGATGTGTTCAATGTTGTCACTTAGCACCATGTTATTTTAATTTAAGATATTCAGCTTACCAAACAGAATTTAATATATTCAATTCTTTCTTTGACTTATTCAAAGCCAACAGCATTACTACAACTATTAGACACGAATTTGCAGGAAAACAAGCATTTCATTATTATAGGTAAAAAGATAAACTGCATGCATTATATACAGCCCGGTCCAAACTAGTTTGAAGCCAGGACCAAAAGCAAATATGCGACACTTCAAAATAAAGAAAAATATAATCAAATTACTGACATTCAATTATAATAAGGTTTAGCAATTATATTAAAATAATGCACTTGTACAATTTACGAGGACCTTATAAAATCCCATTCCAATCTTCAAAGCATTTCTTTGATGCTTTTACCCAACTTCTTCCAAAAACATGTTTCACCATGATAAATAGGGTTTTAGGATCTTGATCATACAAACTTACTAAATTTTATATCCATGTTGGGGCCAAATTAGACTTCTGAACAACTTGAACAACCTAATTATAAACACCATTTCACTTCGCCTTTATTAGTAAAACAAAAACATAATCATACAACCAATTTTAGATACCCAGCTTGAATTGCAACTTATAATCCTTAATATGGAATGAGGAACAAGATCACCTATCAAACAAAACCTTGAAATAATACCAAATTCAAAACCCCCGTACATATTCACCCCTTAATACCCTTCAAATAATACCGAATTCAAAAACCCCCTGTACATATTCACCCCTTAATACGGTTCAAACAAATAAAAAAACACACAACCTTTTTATGGAACTATAAATAGTTATCTACCCATGAAATAAAAGTTGAAATTAATCTAACCTTCAAAAGAATCCACTTATTTCATGCATGCTTATGGTGTCGATCTCCCATATTGTCTTTGACTTTTCAATATTTTTCATTCTTTCTTAAAACTAACCATTAATTAAAACACCTAAAACCTTAGGAGATGAGAATAAAGATTAAGGGATTCACATACTTCACTTACCATCATATTTCAGACTCGGATATAAAGAAATTAGTTGACAGTTAACAGTTAACAATTGACAGTAGAACTTTAGAACTTCATATTTTAAAAACAAGTATTTAGAACTTGTAGAACTTTAGAGAATTAGAAATTAGAATTCGTTTCAAAAACGTATTAGCAAATTGTAAAACAGAGAATTTGATAGAATGTTTTCACTCATCTTATTCGCAATTACAATGAGATACATATATAGGACCAGTACAACAGGAAACCCCACGTAATAAGGAGCTATATACAGACTAGATAGGACATACAATACTTTCTATGAATATCAAATTTTATCAATAATATCCAAACTTAGCTTGATTCTTGTTACAGCTCTCGCCAACACTCCCCCTCAAGATGATGAATGGATGTCGATCATTCTCAGCTTGTCAAGAGAGCTGTAAAAAACATTTGTACACACTGCTTTAGTTAACATATCCGCCAACTGATCCTTTGATTTAACATGTGGTAGCTTGATTGTTCCCTTTTCTAAGTGGTCTCTTATAAAATGTCGATCTACCTCCACGTGTTTAGTTTGATCATGGAGTACTGGGTTATTAGCAATCTTCACTGCTGCCTGATTGTCACAATGAAGGTTCATAGATTTCCTTACTTCAAAACCCATGTCTCGCATAATTCTTTTTGATCCACAGAAGTTCACAAACACCATGCACCATCCCACGGAATTCTGACTCAGCACTCGAGCGTGCTACCAACTTTTGTTTCTTGCTCCTCCAAGTTACCAAGTTCCCTCCAACAAATGTGAAATACCCCGATGTTGACTTCCCATCCGACTTATCTCCGGCCCAATCAGCATCAGTATATCCTTCCACTTCAAGACTTCCAGTTTTAGAAAAAAACAAACCTTTTCCCGGGGATAACTTAAGATAGCTGTGACATCCCCATTTTCACGGCCAGAAAAGACCGATTTTGTTTATGCTTTATAAAAATCAGAGTACCTCTTTTAATAAAAATGTTGCGGAATTTGTTCCCAGTAAAACATGATAAATACGTTATCAAAGCATTTATGAAGAAATGTATTTTTATTCATTTTAAAACATTTGGGATGTCATCGTCAATACAGAAACATAAGCATAAACAGAACTTACATTCATTATCACTAGTGATTTATATCTCCTTAATCTCTCAGTGTAATGTAACTTCATATCGACACCTGTGATACAAATAAACTGAGTGGGTCAGGTTGGAAAACCTGGTGAGTACATAGGGTTTTCAACCCACAATTATATAATTATTATGTTTAATCATCAAAAACAGTTAACCCAATTACCCATCCTTATTATCTTCTTTATTCTTAAGGATCTACCCTAAGAATCAGCTATTTCTTGTTCATTCATTCCTAAGGATTATCCTAAGGAATAGGTACGAATTTCATCGTTGTCAATGACACATCTATCAAGCACAGCTGCTAGTTCTATCACTTAGGCGCATCTGCCAAAATTGTGACATTCTCTACGAGGCGCATCTGCCGGTATTGTCCTTTAGGCGCAGCTGCCAGGGTTATCTCGTTTATCGACAGTATTGTTTCCGAGAATCCACTCGCAATACATGTCAATGGGTTTTTTTTAGAGTACACCGGTGAACACATCGTTCACAACACCTACAGGTTGCGAGTCTGCTAATGTTCCACTGGACTGTCTAGAATAGTCCGTGGTTGTCATCTATACTCTGCTAGATGACGGGGCCAACATTTGGGTACAAGGCTTCTTACATCGTCCACCTCTCACCCTCACCTCATGGTCTATTTCACCTATCACCTCATCATCCGACTCATATTTCATCTACCCATGTTTTACCCAACATATTTTGTAGATATAAAATATATATATATATATATACAGTTTAAATCATTTAAAGCATGTATAAAAATCTTTCACCCAGCATAGACAGCAAGTATACAGACAATATGCACACATAGCACGTAATTTATATTAAATATTTCATATCTATGTGTAAGATGAAAGTAACTATGCACTCACCTGAAAGGTGGTGACTCTGTACTTGAACAACGCTTCGTTATCTCAAAATAATTTTCCCTTGACAAAACCTAGTATCAATACCACTAGGGTTTAGTCTAATGTTAACCGCGACTAATTAATAGTCTAGCTATTATTACTATTATATAAGCGTTAAGCAACACTCTTATATAACTCATAATAATAGCCCAAATAATTATTTTAAGGTTCTAATAACATTACTATATTAAAACATAAGTTATACTAAAGATAGGTTAGTCGTAGCTCACTTACAGCGGGTTTTTCTCAAAACCGGGCTCCGCTGGAGCAGCGTTCCCAAGCTGAAAGGCTCTTCTTCTCGGAGCCGTCGGGCGCTCCGGGGCTTCCGCCTCGTGCTACGGAGGTTCCCTAGGCTTTTCGGGGGGTTTCGGGGGCTAGAGAGAGGTTCTAGAGAGAGAGAGGAAGAAGTAGGAAGGTGTGAGAATGAATGGAGGCCTCACCACTTATTTATAGGAGCTGGAGGAAGGTTCACGTCGTTAATCTCTTGATGTTCACGTCGTGAGTGAGCTTGGGCTCCAAGTCACAGCCTGGTGCTGACACGTGGCATCGCACACAGGGTGGAAATCAGCCGATTTTCAAAAATTCATAACTTTCGCATACGAGCTCCGTTTTCGACGTTCTTTATATCCACGTGTAGGTAAAAACAAGATCTACAACTTTCATTTAGACTCCATCAGCTAATTCTCGACCAATCTTAAATTTAACAGTAGGAAGAGATTAGACTGTTAGATGACCGCGAAGAATTCGTAACTCTTTCATACGGACTCCGTTTTTGTCTGTCTTTTTACCGTTGAGTTCATATTAATGAGATCTTCAACTCTCATTTAGGTTGCGTAGGCCAAAAACCGCTCGAACTAAAATTCGAGTTTCGAGCCGTGCACTGCTATGCCAAATCTTAGAAAAATCATAACTTCCTCATACGAAGTCAGATTTGGGCGTTCTTTTTTTGTATGTTCTCGTTTTAACGTATACTACAAATTTTGTTTAGATCACTAAGGCTAAAAAGTCCTCTATATTAAATTCACTATTTACGTCTCCCGGTGCCGTGCCGGTTTTGCCGAAAAACTTCGACGGACCATAACTTCTTCGTTATAACTCGGATTTCGGCGTTCTTTATATGTACGGAACCCTTGAGACATATTCTACAACTTGGTTAAGATTATTTATTCTAAATAATCTTTTGTCGAAAAGTCGTTTTCGACCCCTATTATCTCTAAATTGACTAGCCCGGATCTACGAGCGTTACAATAGCGTAGGATTCTAATCACTGCTTTCATGTGATCTTCATTTGGTGCATGCATAAAACGACTTACTACACTCACAGCGTATGCAATATCCGGTCGAGTGTGGGATAAATAGATAAGTTTACCAACTAGTTTCTGGTATCTTTCTTTATTTGTTGGAGCTTTGTTGGAGAGAAGAGTCAGCCCATGATTTTTTTCAATCGGCGTATCAATGGGTTGACAATCTAACATTCCTGTCTCTGTGAGAAGATCAAGAGTGTACTTTCGCTGACACATGGTAATACCTCGACTGGATCTCGCCACCTCAATACCTAAAAAATATTTCAATTTTCCCAGGTCTTTTTAACTCGAACTCAGCACCCAACACATCTTTTAACTTGTTAATTTCATCTTCATCGTTGGCTGTCACTACCATGTCATCGACATAAACAATAAGGGCTGTAACTTTTCCTTCATTGTTCTTGACAAACAATGTGTGGTCAGCATCACTCTGCTTGTAGCCAATAC